GGGAGGCTGACACACACAGATCACTTGAGGTCAGGAGTCTGAGACCAGCGTGGCCAACATGATGAAACCCCATCTCTACTAAAAATACAAAAATTAGCAGGGTTGGTGGCGCACACCTGTAATCCCAGCTACTCGGGAGGCTGAGGCACGAGAATCGCTCGAACCCGGGAGGCGAAGGTTGCAGTGAGCCAAGATCGCACCACTGCCCTCCAGCCTGAGCAACAGAGCAAGACTTTGTCACCATAAAATAAATAAAATACTACATTCAAAGCGCCTGACAGAACCTCTCTAAAGAGCTCCTCCTGAGCCTTAGGCCTTGATCGATGGTCCTCAATAAGACTTCTAAATAACACTAACTTTAATTATTTAAAAACTTGCTTTTATTCTTTAGTTGACGTTCCCAAATTGTTATTGTGGCCTTTTCTCCTAGACAGTCGAAGTCCAAAATGACATTTTCTGGCCTCGGGGCTATAACAGGGTGACATTCAGCCACAGTATCTGGGAGGGAAGTTTCCACATCCACGGCAGCTGTCTAGACTTCTGATCCCCAGTGGGGAAACACAGGCTCTGAATAGGAGTGTGAAGGTGTCAGACCCTTCCAGGAAGGTGGTCACAGAGCCAAGGAGATAGGGAAGGTAGCTGCTGAAGTCCCTGAGATTTTGTCTGACATTTGGGAAAACTGGGGCCCTGGGAGACTGGGAGTTCACCCTGGCTCTCCTGAATCTTTTATGTAGTATTATCATTTTAATAGCCTCCACTCCCAGGTAGGGCAGCAATTCTTGCTATTTACCAGGCCCAGCCATTGATGGTAAGAGAGATCTGTCCTCTCAAAAGCAGTTCAAAATGTCTCTGATATAAACTAGATTAGCAAAACCCAGAAGGCCTTCTGGACTCAGGACTAGAGATGAGAATGGGTCAGGTGTGTCAGAACAGGCAATTTGGCCGGGCGCAGTGGCTCACACCTGTAATCGCAGCACTTTGGGAGGCCAAGGCGGGTGGATCACGAGGTCAGGAGTTCAAGACCAGCCTGGCCAGCATGATGAAACCCTGTCTCTACTAAAAATACAAAAATTAGCCAGGTGTGGCGGTGGGCACCTGTAATCCCAGCTACTCGGGAGGCTGAGGCATGAAAATCACTTGAACCCAGGAGGCGGAAGTTGCAGTGAGCAAGATCATGCCACTGCACTCCATCCAGCCCGGACAACAGTGCGAGACTCCATCTCAAAAAAAAAGGCTATTTTCTGACTGTGAGCTGGGGAAGATGTGTGTCCTTCACCTTACCCTGCAACATTCACTCAGGGCCACACATGCTGACCCTAACGATTGATGCAGACCCTGACAATTGCTGCAGACCCTAACAATTGCTGGGCCATTCAATACCTGAGCATGAGCCAGTAAGAGATGATGTGAACCGGCTCTTCTTCTAACTGTGTGTGGGTAGACAAGTTCCTTACCTTTGCCGGCCTCAGTCTTCTCATGCGTGAAATGTGGATGCCGTCTCCCTCCCTGCAGGGGTTGTGGTGGTGCTCTAGAAAACGTAACTTGCCTTCCTCTCCCTGCCTCCCCCTTCTCCAGCATGTTCAGAGAGTGCCAAGGATTTGCCAAAGAACAGTCATTTCCTGTTTTTTGTTTGTTTTTGAGGCAGCATCTCACTCTGTTGCCCAGGCTGGAGTGCAGTGGATGTGATCATGGCTCACTGCAGCCTCAACATCCCTGGGCTCCGGTGATCCTCCCACCTCAGCCTCCCAAGTAGCTGGGACTACAGGCATGCACCACCACACCAGGCTTTTTGTTTGTTTTTTGTAGAGGCAGGGTTTCACCATGTTGCCCAGGCTGGTCTCAAACTCCTGGGCTCAAGGGATCCACTTGCCTTGGCCTCCCGAAGTGCTGGGATTCCAGGCATGAGCCACTGCACCCAGCCAGTCATTTCTGTTTTAAAGGGGGAATAAATGGAGTGCTCAGGAGCTTCCAAGGCGTGGGCTGGAGGCAGCCTTGCGCTGTTGGAGATCTTCTTGAGGAGGGAGGGGTTCCGGGAAGCTGCAGGGCAGGCAACCCTTGGGAATGGCTCCCCTCCTAGTGCACCCAGAGACCTAAGGAGGGGTTGCGGGGGTGGGCACGGAGGGACTTGGATCTGAAGCAGGAATAACAAGAGGGCTAAAGCTCCTTCTGCAGCTGTCTCCATTACCATCAACACTGTCCTCAGCACCTATCCTGAGGCTCCCCCAGGGACGGTGGCACTCACACACTCCCCACGTGAGCAGGTGAAAATCAGACTCAGTCCCCTGAGCATCACTATTACATGCAAAATCTCCACCTGTCCCAGCCACCCCACCTTGCCATGCAAGCTCAAATGCCACCCCTAGGAATTCCCAAACATCTTCAGCTCTCTTAGTCAGGGATCATTGATCCTAAGGATCATAGATCGCTTAGGGCGAAGGCAAATAACAGCAATAAGGATATGGACATATATTGGGTCTTACAATGTGCCAGTTCTAAACATTAGACAGGTATTGATTCATTTAATACTCACATCCACACTGTAAGTTGGTTACTACTGTTTACCTCATTTTACATATGAGGAAATCAGGCACAAATTTAGTAACTAATGCAATGTCATACCACTAGCAACTTAAATTCACTGAAGTGAGAACAAACAGGAAATTAAACATAGCCAGAGGATGAAGGTTCTGACAGGAACAGAGGTTACCACTAGCTCTTGGTCTCCTTGGTCCATTTCTGCTCTTTCTCTGCTGGCTTTGTTCTTCTGCTTGTATCCAGCTCAACACAGTCACCCCAAACCGCAGTCTATAGGGTGTTCCAGTTAAGGTACCCACCATCTCCTAACTTGTTCCTAATTCATGGAATAGAGAATCTGACAGGAGAGTCAGCTCCATCCAGTGGTGTGCTGGTATATGTCTAGCAGTTGACTGGGGAAAAAGAAAGCCCTGATTTACAGTGTTTGCCAATATCCATGGTGTAAATCCCACCGTGGCTGATTTCAAGCTACCCATACTCACTGAATGCAGAGCTTGGAAGAGGTGTGCACAATTTTCTCACATGAATCAGGACAGCCATTATGCACCACTGGCTGCACCTATGCATCAAGTCTCTGAGTCAGGTGTCCACCCTGGCCAATCGGCTGTGGCTACAACGGGGTCATGTGACACAAATATGGCTGCCAGAGCCCATCCTTTCATGGCAAAGCAGGCTATGGGAGGTCAATTTCAGAGAAAGAGATGAGGCCCCTGACATTACTGAAAATATGCTGGTTCTTGGCTACAACACATTCATTTCCTCTTCTGCTAGTAACACACTCTGGTTTCCTCTTAGTGGAACCTCTTGTGCTTCAGAAAGTGAAGCACGTGAGGGCTTCACCCTGTACTCCAGGCTGAGAGCATGGGCCCTAGACCCAAGCAAAACAAGCACACAACATGATCCAGTTAGAACCAGGAAGACCCAATTAGACTTGCTGGGCGCTATGGTTTGAATGTGGCCCCCCAAAAAAACACGTGTTGGAAACAACCCCCAGTGCAACAGTGCTGGGAGCTGAAGCCTAGTGGGAGGTGTTGGGTCATGAGGGCTCCACCCTCATGAATGGATTAATGCTGATTATAAAAGGATATGAGGCTTTGAGTTCCATTTTTCTCACTCTCAACCTCTTTTTGAGATGGATCTTGTTCTGTCTCCCAGTCTGGAGTGCAAATGGTGCAATCACGGCTCCCCGCAGCCCTGACCTCCCAGGCTCAAGCAATCCTCTCACCTCAGCCTCTGAAGTAGCTGGGACTACAGGCGCATGCAGCACCATACCTGGCTTTGTTTTTTTGTTTGTTTGGTTTTGGTTTTTTTGTAGAGACAAGGTCTCCCTACGTTGCCCAGGCTGGCCTCAAACTCCTGGACTCAAGTGATCCTCCTGCTTTGACTTCCCAAAGTGCTGAGATTACAAGCATGAGCCACCAAGCCTGGCCTCACCCTCTCTTGCTCTTCTGCCTTCTGGCATGAGATGACATGGCATGAAGCCCCTCACCAGATGCTGGCACCATGCTCTTGGACTTCCCAACCTCCAGAACTATGAGACTGGAATTTATCATGAACAGAATGAAATTTCTTTTCATTATAAATTACCGAGTTCGTGATATACTGTTATAGCAGCATAGAATGGATGAAGACACTGAGGCTTTTGTCAGAGGGACAGAGGCTTGATTGCTGGAAACCTGGGGACTGTAAGACTAGAACTGCTGACCCCACAGGAGCCTCAGGCTGAAGCTGACTCAGAACAGAGTGGAAAGCTAGAGACACATCCTTTGAGTCCTGAAGGTGGCCTGACCACTGTCCTGTTACATAAACCAATACATCCTTGTTTGGATTGGACTTTCTATCATTTTGCAGCCAAGTCTGGACACATGAGGACTGTGAGGACTCAGGGAAATTAGTTCCCGATGATGACCTCCATGGTAGTCACTTCTCTCTCCCTCACAGTGCTTCCACAGGGCCAGACTTGATAAACTTTTGGGGAATTAATTACTAAATTTCCTTCCTAGGCAGTCAAAACATTGACCCCCATGGGAAAAAAAATATATGACAAGGACATCTTGGACTCCCCCTCCAATCCCTAGAATCACTTCCACAAATCAGGCACTCATGATGGACCCCCATAGATGGGTGGGGTGCCCCTCAGGGAGCAGTGGAAGTGAGACTTACTGGTAGACCTAATACATCCAAAAAGGCTCCAGAACTAGGTAATGCTGGGTCAATTTATATCACTGCCACTATACTGCAGCATGATCCTTAGCAAAGAGCCTCTCTTGGTTTGCTGCCCACTTCTTAGGGAGTTGTGAGGCAATCAACATAAAGCACTCAGTTCAGCACCTGGAGTGAGGCCAGCCCACAGGGAGGCCACTTCCTTCCTTCTCCAAGTCTGGGGGGCGGGGGAGGGGAGAGGAGCAATGGAAAGGTGCCCCCCAGCCCTGCCCTCGCACAGAGCACGCCAAACACCACTGCCACCCGGGTGCAGGTACAGTTTATTCTTCACAACAGAGAAATACAAAGAGCAGAGGGTTTGTAATTCCTTTGTTTCTTGCCCCCTTTAGTGTTTTCCCCCTACATTTGATTTTCATTTGCTCCCCACCCCCTTTTTTAAATAGAATGCAAACTACCTTCCTGAAGTGTCTGAGGGGCACCTGCCCTCACCTCCCTGCCTCCAAGATGCAGACTGAGAAGCCAACAGACTGTTTTTTCTTTTTTAATAAGGTAACTAGTTCTAAATATGGTGGCCTGGAGGTCCCATAGAAAAAGCAAAGGGGTGTTAACAGTATGTATAACAGCGTATTTACAGGGAGTAACATGCGGACAAAAAGCTACAATACTGAGTATCAGACGACGCAAGTCAAACAAAGGGCTGGGGGTGGGGGCAGAGAACCCCATGGGAAAAGAAACCCCAGGAAACGTTAAACTGGTAAATCAATGGCGAGTTAAGGCTTAAAAAGTGTATAAAAATAACACAGTTAATATTCAAAACGGAACTCCAGATACAGAATATATAGATGAGTTTCTGTCTAGTTTTCTTTTTTTTTCCCGGGGGGATGTAGGGGGCTTCTCCGGGCTCTGTACATGGTTCCTATATACACGGACACGCATGGCTTTCAGATTGGGGTGTGTCTGTGGGGGCTGGGGGCAGGGTCTGCTCCTGGGACCTGCCTCCCCGAGGATCCCTTCCCTGCTGAGGGGCCTAGGGCCTCGGCTGGGGATTCCCACTCCATGGCAGGGAAGACAAATAACCCCTCCCTGGGCACTGCCCCCATCTGGAGGAAATTCTGGAGGGAGGTCCCAGCCCCAGGCCCACTCCCTCCCCATCCCCCTGCCCACAGTCTGGCATGGTGGGAGAGGTAGCCGAAAGGTTTCCTGGCCAGCACCGAGGTAGACTGGGGTGGTCTTCAGGGCAGCAGGGGAGGGCCAGGTCTTACCCAGCCCATCCCCACCCCGTTTCCCTGGGCCCGCCACCCAGCCCATCACTGCACCCTTTGGTCCTGTGGATCTCCCGCCCCTCTCATTTCTGCCTCCTGAAGCTGCCGCACCCCTCTGCTCAGTGATGCCTGGGGCACAGCTCGAGGTGCGAGCCAGGCACTCAGGGGCGAAGGGCTCACTCCGGCTGCTTCCTGCCCCTCCCACCTGGGGGTCCCCTTTGCAGTCCAGAAACCCAGGCCTGAGCCTTCCCTCAAGACCTGAGGCCATGGCAAGAGAAGGTCCCACACTGCCCTCTGGTTCTCTGCGTCCATCTGTCCGATTCTTTAAATTTCTCGGTCTTAGCAGCACCAACTTCCTGGCCAATAAATATCTTTTCTGTTATTTCCAAAAAAAAAAATAAAAAACGAAAAAAAAAAAAAAAAAAAAAAAAAACAGTGAAGCAAGTGAAGGGTGGGGAACAAAAAGAAAACTCAACAGAGAGGTTCAAAGTGCTCTGAGATCGTCTTTGGATGCCACCAAAACAGTCCAGAATCTTGCAGTTGGCCTGGCCGCCCCTGGACTGGACCAGGCAGGACTTCTGCGGACCAAGCTTTCTGGAAGGTTGGGAAGGTGGTGAGAGAGCCTGGTGGTTCCTGGAGGGCCCCTGGAGGGAGTTGGGGCCTGGTGCTGCCTGGGTCTGTGTCTGCCAGTGGGCCGGGTGGGGCGGCGCCTCCAGTGGGCTCAGATGAGAGAGATTCGCACCGGGATGCCGGGGGACTCCGTCCTCTGGGGTGAGTGATGGCTCACCAGGTGCTCCACCACCGTGTGTTTGGACATGTGCTTCATCAGGTAGGTCTCCTGTGGGCAGGGGTGAGATTCAGAACAGGGAACCACCAGCAAGGGAGGGAGAAGAGGCTGCAGTTCCCACCAGCAGCCACTGGAGGGCTCTTGGTAGGCGGTCCAGAGGGTGGAGGACAGCCACAGCTTCGCAGGGTCAGTCGGGCATCGGCCATTGGTTCTAGAGACACTGCACTGCTGCCAAGGGTGAGTGCTGGCTGGAGAGTTCGCCCCTCAGCAGTGCCCACCTGTGGCTCCCCAGGGCCAGGTCCCCAGCCCCTTGCCACCGGGCCGTAGCTGGGTATACTGGCTGAACCTCAGCCCTGTCGGCCCAGTGGAGCACAGTGCCTGCATCTGGCTGGTGATCCCAGTGACAGTCAGGCAGCAGGACTGGGCATGAGCCTAGCTCTGCTGTTTCTTAGTGGTGAGAACTTGGACAAGTCATCGTGTCTCTCTGAGCCTGTTTCCTCCTCTGTAAGCAGGCATGGGGGAGGAACAACCTCAACAGGTTGCTCTGGTGACAGAGATCAAGCCCTTAGCATGGAGTAAGGGTTGAAGGTCCACTCCTGCCCTAGTCTCTACATTTCCTTTCCTTCCTTTTCTTTTTTTAAGGTCTCACTGTGTCGCCCAGGCTGGAATGCTGTGGCACAATCACAGCTCACTGCAGCCTCAACCTCCTGGGCTCAAGCAGTTCTCCCACCTCAGTGCTCCGAGTAGCTGGGACTACAGGTGGGTACTATCATGTCCTCCACTGGCTCTGCTGGATCTGACCTAAGGCACCAGGACTGGGCAGGTGAGGCTGTGACCCAGGGCTCACTGCAGGCCCAGAAGCTCTCACACTAAGCCACGTCCTTCCAACTGCCTTTGCCAGAAGCAGAGGCGGTACTCCCACCTGCTGCTCCTTGACTTCAGACCTCAATATGCTCAGAACCCAGCAGAGGAAGCCCTCAAATGTGGTGGCAACACACTATCCAATACCAGAGGGAAGCAACCCGCAAATTCCTAGCTAGGAAACTATTCTTCAGTTGAATAACAAAAAAAGTGGGGGTAAGGGGACCTAGAGATTAAAAGATGTACTGGCCCACTATGATGTAGGAATCTTATTTGGATCTTGATCTAAAAAGAATAATGTAGGCCGGGCGCGGTGGCTCATGCTTATAATCCCAGCACTTTGGGAGACCAAGGCGGGTGGATCATCTGAGGTCAGGAGTTCGAGACCAGCCTGGCCAACATGGTGAAATCCTGTCTCTACTAAAAATACAAAAGCATAGCCGGGCGTGGTAGCATGCGCCTATATTCCTAGCTACTCGGGAGGCTGAGGCAGGAGAATCGCTTGAACCTGAGAGGCAGATGTTGCAGTGAGCCGAGACTGCGCCACTGTACTCCAGCCTGGGGATGGAGCGAGACTCCATCTCGATTTAAAAAAATAATAATAATGTAAATATACCCAATCATGGCATTCATGAGACAAATGAAAATGTCAGTGCTGAATGGGTGTTTGAGTATTTGATGATAAGGACTTTGGTTAATTACTTTTTGGTATTCCAAAGGTATTGTGGATATGCTCAAAAAAGGAGTCTTTATCATTAGAGACAAAGTGAAATTTTTAGAAATAGTATGATGTCTGGATTGTACTTCAAAAAATAGGAGTATGGATGAGGCAGGATTGGTTGATGGTACAGGAGGTTATGGAAAACTTGAGCATTGGAGAGAGGCAGGGACTGACTGGAGATCAGCTAGCCAAGCAGGGGCTCCCGCTCACCCCTTTGGAGCCCTTTTCCCTGCAGATTCTGTCCTCTTTGCCTCTTGATCCTCCTCTGCCCTTTGAACTTCAGGGAAGAATACATGTTACAGACTCAGCACTTAGCAAGTGGCAGCCCTAACTGGCACCTGACAAGTACTGCCAACGACCCCACCTACAATCCATGAACTCCCTCCAGCCAGAGTGACCTTGCAAAAATACCTTCCCTGCCAGGCACAGTGGCACAACCTGTAGCCCCAGTTATTCTGGAGGTTGAAGCAGGAAGATTCCTTGAGCCCAGGATTTTGATTCCAGACTGGGCAACATAGCAAGACCCCGTCTCTAAAATATACCAAAAAACAAACAAACAAACAAACCTCCCTGACAGTCCCCTCCCTGTGGCTTCCCATTTCACCTCAAAAAATATCCAGACTTTCCTAACAGAGCCCCAAGGCCCCAACTGACCTAATTTCCTTTGAGTTCTTGTAACATGCCAAGTTTGTTCCACCTCAGGGGGTTTGCACTCAGTGTTCCCCTCTGAGGGCATGGAAGCTTCTTTCCCCTCTTTCTCCTCCTCATCCAATTATCCTTCAAGGCTTCATCTAAGTGGTACTCCCCCAGGTGGTCAATCTGGACTCACCCCCCTTCCCAGCTCCATTGAGTCCTCCCTGCTGTCTTTCAAAACACACTTTTATCACAGTGGTTCTCAACTGAGGCGATTTTCCCCCCCAGGGACAAAGAGCCAGGATGAGAACACAGGAGTGGCAGGGACAGAAGGAGTTCTCAGGGAGGACACAGAGGGGCAGAGTTTCAGGGCCATGCTGTCCCCCAGGATGCAGCACTCCAGAATGCAGGACAGCATGGTCCTGCAGCTCAGCCCCTCTGTGTCCTCCCTGGAGACATTCTGTGGCTGTCACCACTTGGGGAGGGGTTGCTACTGGCATCTAGTGGGTGGAGGCCTGGAATGCTGCTCAGAGCCCTGCCACCCGCAGGCCAGCGCCTACAGTGGAAAGGTCCGGCCCAAATGTCCATCTGGACTAGGGCCGAGAGGCTCTGCTTTACAGCAGTTACACAATTTCCCATCAAACAATTACGTGTGCACTTGTTTAATACTTGTCTCCAACAGTAGTTCTTAACTTCCCCGGGGACAAAAAATAGATCTGTCTGGCTCATCATCCCAATGCCCAAGCACCAGGCAGAAGTGTTTAGTAAAGACTGAGTGAATAAATAATGGTACTAGCTCAGGTTGATTTGGCACCACTGTGCCAGCCAACAGCCCTGTGAGTTCATCCATTTGACAGATGAGGAAACTGAGGCTCGGTGACCTCTATGTTGGGGATATGGGGTCTGTTAACTAGAATATTAAATCGACCAGAAGCCCACACTCAAGCGACTCGCCTGGGGGTGAATGGTAGTTCTGGGTGCCGAAAGGCCCTCGTTTAGGGAAATTCCCACCCAGGGATGGGGGCTGAATGCTCTGAGCTTTCTGGGCGGCTCAGGCCTTTCCTGAGATGAGGGTGGCTGTGGACGTCACTGCGCCACCTTGTGGCCGTAATGGTGGTTGCAGCTTCCTGGGTGACAGGAAGGCCCTTCTCTCTCTGTAGCTCTGCAGAACAGGTGAAAAGCCTCCTGCCACTGCCGTGAGTGTTCCAGGGCATTGGAGAGTCAGGCTAAAGGTGAGCAGAAGGCTAGGGGCTTGGCCTGGGGTAGCTGAAACCAGAAGTGGGAAGCAAAAGCCCTGGTTCTACTCTTCCCTGTGATCTCAGGGAGTCACTTCCCTTCTCTAGGTCTCAATTTCTTTGTCTGGAAAATGGGAAGAGTCGGCACAGATCTAAAGAGGGGGAAGCAGCTGAGGCCTGGAAGAGGAAGTGGCTCCCCTGGGGCAGGGCACAGGCTGACTGGCACTCACCGAGGTGTAGGCCCGCCCACACATGCTGCAGCAGTAGGCCTTGGCGTGCTTGATGGCATGGGCCGAGAGGTGGATCTGCAGGGAGGCGGAGTCCGAGTAGGCCCGGTAGCAGTTGGGACACTTGTAGGGCTTGTCCTTGTTGTGCTGGCGCTGGTGAGACTGTGGGGGCACAGCAGGGGGTCAGGAGAGGAACAGGGCTCCCCTGCCCCACCCCCTTCCCACGCTCCCTTGTGGGGGTGGCGGGGGCACCAGGCCACCTGGTGGGCAGGAGGCAGGCAGGCACTCACCTGGAGGTTGGAGAGCTGAGTGAAAGCCTTCTCACAGCCAGGATGTGGGCACTTGTAGGGTCTGTCGCCTGTGTGGATTCTGCAATGGGCAGCCCAGTAAGGTCGAAGTCCCTGACACACACCCCAAGACCGTTCCAGTCCCCAAGTCCTTACTAAGCCTCTCAGTCCCTACACTGCCCATGCTCCCCAAGGACCAAGAGTGAGCCCAGGCAAGAGCTGGAGACTTCAGCGGCTATGGCTCCTCCTTCATTCTCTGCCCTCTACTGCCAGTCTGACCAGAGCCTCCCGCTTCCCACAGGTCCCTGCTGTCCCCAGCCCACCACTAAAGCCCTGGTAGCAACCCAGTGCAGGCGTTGGAGGGGGCCTGATTTGACTGCCCCTCTCTTTCAAAAACCCCACACTACAGACCACACATTGCAAAGAACACAGATGCACGGCTTTGTCGGGACCTTCCCTGCCCACCCAGCCTCCTTCCCTAAGAAGAAGGAGACATCTCCCTCTAATTGGTCCCAGACACTTATTTCCTGTCCCTACCCTATGTCAGGCACATGTCCGTGACAGCTACATGGTCACCCCAGTAAATGGGAGAATGTGGGACAGCACAACCCTGAAGCTCAGCCCCTCTGTGTCCTTCCTGGGAGTTCCTTCTGTCCCTGCCACTCCTGGATTCTCATCCTGGCTGTTTACCAACTGGATGACCTTGGACAAACCACTGAGCATCAGTTTCCTCATCTGCAAAATGGGTATAAAAATACAGTCCCTACCTCATCGGGCTTTGTGAAGATAACATCAGATAATGCATGTAAAGGGTTTAGCCTAGTGTTGCTACAAAGTGAGCACTCAACGTTTGCCAGTTATCATTACTCATTCATTCACATTCATCACATTGGGTACCCATGCCCCAGGCACTGTGCTAGGTATTTGGAATGTATCATGAACAAAACAGACAAAAGCTACTGCCTGGAGGAAATAAGCAACAAGTGTGAAATAAACAAGTAAATCACATGTAGAAGGTAGTAAGTTCTGTGGGAAAAACAACAAGATGGGGGGACCATGAATGCCGGGAAGAAGGGGTACAGTTTTAAATGGGGGTAAGGGCCTCATGGGGAAGGTGACACTGGGGCAGTGACTTGAGAGCTGATGACCCTATACCTGCCCAACAGCCCAGGTGAGGATGGGGCTGTGGACTGGGCGATGATGTCCACAAATGGAGCTCAGCAGCCTGGCATGCACTAATAGTGGGCTTCCCTGCTTTCTGCACTCATGCCTTTGCACCATCTCCCTGGGCGTGTCTTCAAGCATCTATTTGGGCAAATCCGCTGTACCAAGCAGGTGGGCAATGAAATGCCAGCTGGGCCTGAACCTTGGTTGCCTAATTTGTTGAGGAACAAAAGTGGAGGGGAATATCCAGATTTTACCAAAAGGGTGTCCACTCCTTCCTTCCAAGGCCCCAGCCCCTCTCACTGACTGGGTTTGCCATCAGCCCATCAACAAATTCATCAAAGAAACTAAAGTCCCTCTGGCCAGGCCCAGTGCTAGACTCAGGGACACAGGGTTGAGTAAGAAACATTCCCTGCTACCAATAAGCCCATTGGCTGCCATTATAAACATTGACAAAGTCCAAATTCCTTATATGTCATTCAAGCCTTCACCAGGTGGTCCAGCGTCCCCTCCCTGCTCATACGCACCCTATGTCCTGGTCAGAGAATGACTCTTCCCTGCCAGCCGTGTCTGATAAGTCTCCACACACCTCTGCTATGTCTGCATCCTCAGCACTGGGACCTCCTCGGCTCTTTGGCCCGGTAAATGTCAGCTCATCCTTCTAGCTATGTTGGCGAGTGGGGCTCTGCGGAATCTCCCGAGCGTACTGCTCACCCCACAGGCTTCCAGAGCACATTCCTCACCACAGAGCCAACCCCACTGGACCCTCGAGGCCGCCCACACTTCTCTCCCCTGCTAGCTGGGGAATCCCGAGGGCAGGGACGGGCCCCAGTCTCAGGATTAAGGCCCAGGGTCTGGCCTTCCACAATAGCTGTGCCAACAGAAGCTGAGCTGACGCAGTTCTGAGCACCCCTGTTCTACCTGCACATTTCTGGGTGTCACGTTTCAGGATCCCACCCCAGGCCGCTGCACCCTGTCTCTACAGTGGAAGGACCTTAAGGGTCATCTGAACCAACTCTGCCTGAGGCCAGCATCCTCTTCACTTCACCCCATCCTCATTCCCTCTAGAGCTGGGGAATTCGTTTAGTTAGGCTCCCCATCACCTAACCCCTAAGGGTCCCCAGGACTCACGCTGCCTTTGTCTTAAACCCCACAACCCCTTCTCCCCTTGCCCTGAAACCCAGCCACAGTGGCCTTGCACTAGCTCCTCCAGCACTGAGGCCTTTCCCACCTCCAATCCTTCATCCAAGCTGTTCCCTCTACCAGAAACACCTGTCCCTCAGCTAACACCTGGCTAAAACCCAACTCCTGTTCTCAGCACAAAAGTCCCTTCATCAGGGCAGCCTTCCCTGACCCCCTAGACCAGGTCAGGCTCCCTGCGGCCCACCTCGCAAGCAACAAAGCCATCGGCTTCCCAGAAGTCTCTGCACTTATTTTCTCCATGTCTGGTCACTGTGTTCCTTCAGAGGAACTCCCTTGGGCTCATTCCCTACCATCACCCCAGCGCCTGACATGGGCTCAGCACAGAGGGGATTCCATAAATAGACACAGACTGAATGAAGGCAAGCAAGTTCTTTCTCTCTGAAGTCAATCATTGACAAGAGAAATAGGTTCCACATCATCAGCGACTTCCGTGCCCGGAGTGTATTTCGTGAGGGTTTGCTGACTGACTGACTGACCAACAGTCCTCCAGCGGATTTGGGTCCTTCCTCAGGAACCAGGCAAGCCCTCTCGACCAGCAAGCTGCCTCTCTGGCCTCCTCCCATGCAAGTGCAACAAGTGCCCAGCCTTCCCCGGGACTCCCAGCCTCAGCCTCTCCCCGCCAGGCCTCGGCACGGCTGAAGCTGCAGGGCTCTGACCTGTTCACAGCCCAGTCTGGCAGCCTCCACGGTCTCCCTCCCTCTCTCCAGGACAGAGTCCATATCCCCTTCCCCAGCTTGCAAGGCCCTTCACATTCTGGCCTTGGTTTCTAAGGCCTCTTTCTCTTGCCACTGTGCTCCCCGGAGGAGCATCTTACCAACCTCCCCCAACACACATGCAGATGCAGCCCCCCAGCAGGCCTCGAGCCTTTGCTCATGCCATTCTTCCTCCAATTGGGGAGGGCTGCGGACCCCTCCGTACTCAACCCAGATGATCCCCCCCCAACCTCCACCTCCTACTTCCCTCTCTCAAGGAAGTTTCCACATCTGCCATCCTCCCGGGTCACAGTGGCAGGGGCCTGCCTCTGCCCGCTCCTGTGTCCCTGTGCATGGCACCCAGCATGGGGCTGGCTCAGAAAAAGCTTCAGGGAGCAACTGTTGGATAAGGAAGGACCATGCTGCCTGTTCTTTTGGCCACAAACCTCTTGTCTTCAGTCCCTGAACTTCAAGTCAAGCCTAAGCCCTCAATTCTAACATCAGAATCCTCTCTTTGTAAGGCATCTTCCCATAGGGGAGCACCCAGCCCCAGCGCCCACATCTGTGGTGATAGGAAGTCCACCCTGACTCTAGGTGGTCACTCTTCTTTTCTTTTGAGATGGAGTCTCGCTCTGTCGCCAAGGCTGGAGTGCAGTGGTACAATCTCCACTCACTGCAAGCTCCGCCTCCCCAGTTCAAGCAATTATCCTGCCTCAGCCTCCCAAGTAGCTGGGACTACAGGCCCGTGCCACCATGCTCAGCTAATTTTTTTGTATTTTTAGTAGACCACTATGGTTCAAGACCATGTCAGCCAGGCTAGTCTCGAACTCCTGACCTCAATAATCTGCTCACCTCAGCCTCCCAAAGTGCTGGGATTACAGGCATGAGCCACAGTGCCCGGTTGGTGGTCACTCCTCTTTAGGCAGCACAAGGAAGCTGAGCTGAAGCTAGTGGCCCTGGACTACGCCCCTCCACCCTCCACTGTCCTAGTCCCACCCAGGGGCTCTAAAGACTTGCTCTGCTCTCTTGCCTGGCACCGCCACCCCCATGTGCTGCTTCTGCCTGATGCCCCAGCCCCTTCCTTCTTTCTGAACTGGGCTGCTCCTTGGTGCACTGCACTCGAATCTTGCTTCTGCCCCCTCTTAGCTGGGTGACCTTGGGCAGGTGACTCTGCCTCCCTGAGCCTCAGTTTCCCCCTCTCTAAAATGGGGATAATAATAAAGAAATTTCAGAATTTAAAGGGTGTTCATAAATATTTTTGCAGTGTCCGTTTTTGATACATTCATTTCTATTTAAGTTAAGCAACTTATGAAAACAAAGAGGAAATATATTCAATGTTTCAATAAAATTATTAAGGATTCATGAATTATCACTTTTATTTCTCAACCATGAGATGGCTTTGGGCATGCCGTGTTTTTTAACTAAAACAATGGCCATAGATATATGAAAGTTAAATATGCCTTGAGAGGATTCCCCCTCTGTGGCATTTTTCAAATTCATTCTCTCTTATGAAGAAATAACAAATTCACCCTGCACAGGCATTTTATGGACATCCTGTGTATTAAAACACCTTAAGCAGGACCTGGCGCACAGAAGTTCTTTAACAAGGAATAGTTGTCATTGTTATTAGCATTATTATCAGGCTTGAAAAAACTAGAATGACACTTTCCTCTGCTGCAATGATCATTAGGCACGTACATAACATCGCCCTGCCGGAAAAAGAAAAACAGAAACAAAACCACTTTGCACCCTGAATAAACAGACAGACAAATCCAGAGTCACTCTGTCCAGCTCTAGTTCACAAATAGAGAGAACTTTCAGCCATTTCCTATAACTGACTAACTTCCTCCCAGAACAATGGCTGGTTTGTTTGTTTGTTTGTTTGTTTGTTTGTTTGTTTAGATAGGATCTCTGTCTCCCTGGCTGCAGTGCAGTGGCGCGATCTCAGCTCACTACAGCCTCTACCTCCTGGGTTCAAGCAGTCCTCCCACCTCAGCCTCCTGAGTAGCTGGAACTACAACAC